TGGCTGTGATGCTCTTTCTGGAAGATGGCATGGCATATATCATGCATCAGTATCTTTAATACATAAATGCTGGCTATTATTATTAATGAGATTTGCTTTCTGGTCTCTAGGAGATTACAGTGGAGTATGGAAGAAAAGATCCTCTTACATATGTCTTTCATATTGATAATATTGACAAACACAGAAAAGGGAGTAGAGAAGGGGGAGATCTCAGAGTGTACATGCAGCTCTGAGAAGATAAAGCTCCTTCAAATAACTGGAATTTGAACAGATGACTCCAACTTACCATGCAAGTACCCTATTATCAGTCCAATCATCACTTTGAGTAGTCAAGGGGAAAATTGGATGAGGATAGATGGAAATGGCAGAAGAAATTTATCATGTAGTCCCTTCTCTGCCATCTGGAGTGAAAGTGTGCATATGGATGCATTACTGCTGTGCCAAGAAAACATGAAAGAAATAAAAGAAAAGCCATCCTTGAATGGCCTTATATTGTACTTTATTATTTGTTAGAAAGCCCCATAATGAAAACTTACATTGCTTGATATTCCTATCTAGGCTCCAAAATACCATTACTTGCAGGGATTACTTATACTAATTACTAACAATGCTAAATGGAAAATAAAGGCTCCAGAATAAAAGTACTGAATATGAGGTGGATTGGAAGATGGTGAACTGTGAGTGAAAATGGGGTAGATGCCAAGAAACACCTCGGGGTGGAATTGTGTCAACAGCTTGGATCTCTGAGGTTCTTGAAGTCCTGTACAGGAAATCACTGGGTGGTCCAGTAACTTGATAGGTACCCATGGCCACCAGGTTTCACTCCATTTTCCCTGAAGACATTTCACAAATTGAGGACAAGCAAGGGTCCTCTGGCATTTCTCAAAGTCAGAAAGGATCTTCTCCCTCAAAACTGAACAATTCTTTACCTCCAAACAAAAGCGTGGAGGGAAGGCGTGGAAGACACACCAAGAATTTTCCTACTTCCAGTTACAGTCTTCAGTCTCTGTTCGCATCCCTGTGTTTCTACTTTGGGGTGCTACATGCAGGAAGTCATGCTGATTCCTTAAGAAAATACAAGAGACAGAAGCTTCCCTCTGAAAACTGGGTGCTAGCAGCCTCAAAACTGGGAGTTACCAAAGGGATCAACCAGACCATTCTCCCTTCTGATCCATCTCCCCATATCCTGTCCTTTATTCCAATCATTCAAATCTGCTGTCTTGCATTCATTTATTGATATGCAGGCATATTATCCCAGAGCTGAACTGCTGAAGACCCAGGTCTCGCGTTTCATTTGCTTTATAACGTTATTTGTTTTTACTATCTCAAGTAGAAACTGTTGACACATATTGGAATTTTTGAAGAGCACGTCATGATAGAAGTATTTACAAAGATGGGCAGGTTAAGGAAAAGTGACAAGTGCATGGTGAAACAGGGAAAGAACAAGGGAAGGAACACTGAGGAGACAGGGCAGTTGCAGAGGTGGGAGAAAATGAGCAAAAAGATGGAGAGGCACTATCTCGGCCAACACAGACTCAGACAGAGAGCCAGGAGATGTAAAACCCAAGTTCCTTTCCTCCTGTCCTCTGCTCTCCTGGGAGGGGTATTCTTGTGACTCTATTCAACCAGAAAGTTGGATGAAAATAAGTGACTCATAAGTGTCACAGACACCTTCCTCTTGATATGCCAAACCAAACAGAGAAGGAAGAAAGGAAAATTATTTTGGCAAATGACACTATCCCTCAAATCTCCTTCTCTGCTTCCTAGAGTCTTCTCTACCAAATTGTCATTGAATTGTTTTTCACAGTCGGAAATTAAAGGGCCACAATAGCAGTTACTTAGAGGTAAATAAGAGAAGGTGGGAAGGGAGAGGCTGAACATGAGTGGCAATTGGGAAGATGCCCAGAAAGATTTCTCTGTGGGTCACATCTTAAACTGCTCTGGTTTCTCATTTGCCCACAATCCTTTGCAGAAAATCAAAGGAAGGGCCATTTAGCATCTTGATAGCTTTTCTTATTCACTGCCTTTTCCTCTAGCTCCTGTATGCATCTCCTGATTTAGAAGACAGAGAAGGGTTCTCTGGTGTCCCTTAATCCGAGAAAAACTCTCCACTTAGCACAGATCAGCTCCCCTCCTGTGGATAGAGAATGAAGAAAGGTAAGGATATATTCTAAATGCTTTCCTGTTTCCAGTGATTGCTAATATTTTGTACTGAGTTCATATCTCTATGTTTCTACCTTGTGATGCTACAAGCAGGGGGTCATGGGCTTCCTTCAGGGAAAGGTAGAAGAGATGATGCCTTTTTGTGAACACTGGGTGCTGGCATCCTTGACAGTGAATGTACTCAGAGGGCTTCTTCACACTATTCTCCCTTATGATCCATCCCCCCATATTCTCCCCTTTATCTGACCATTCAAATCTATTATCATAGGGAGAACACTGCTACTTACATTCATTTGCGGATCACAGTTACATGCAGGAATTATATCCCAGAGCTTAGCTGCCATAAACCCAGATTTTATTTTGTTTATTTTTTAGGGGGTGAGGGGTACTGGGGAATGAACTCAGGGGCACTCGACCACTAAGCCGCATCAACAGCCCTATTTTGTATTTTATCTAGAGATGGTCTCATTGAGTTGCTTAGCTCCTTGCTTTTGCTGAGGCTGGCTTTGAACCCGCAATCCTCCCGCCTCAGCCTCCTGAGCCACTGGGATTATAGACGTGTGCCAGGACACCCAGCTCCAAGGTTTTCATTATGTTACTTGCTTTTCAACATTGTTCTTCTTTGCATATTTAAGAAGAAAAAAGGCAACCCCAAAATGAAGTAATTGAGTATTTCTTTAGCTGACTGTTTATAAAGGTAGAGTTAAGAAAAATTTACATGATATGGTAAAGTAGCTTAAGGCGAGCAATAATAAAGCATTATACAGACAAGAGAGAGAGAGAGAGAAAGAACAACAACTAGTTGTAGCAGTAGCAGGGGACAACCAAGTAGGAGGAAAAGCACTGTCATTGCAACTCACAACCTCACAGGAAGAGAGCCAGGAGTTGAAACATTCAAATCCCTCTCTTCTTGCCCTTTAGTCTCCTGGAAGAAACTCCCACATGTACCAACTGAGGTTCCCAGAGTGAGGATAACAGAGGTTGTAGATTTCCTCCCATATCCCCTTCTGGTCAACCAAAGTTGTGGGAGATTTTATATCTACAAGACCTCAGTTGGATGCATTCACTTCTGATGCCTCTCTGCATGTGTTGTTTTTTTCACTTGAGGGTCCATGTGAGTTCTCTGGCCTGCAAGACCTGGCTTCCCTTGCAAAACAGGGGAGAGCTTCTATATTCTCATCTGTTCCTGACTGGCTTCCAAAGCACCTCATTATTGCCTTATTTCACTTGCTTCCCTTCCTCTAATTTCTGAAGTTTGTTTATACTAGACTTTCTGAAATACACAATTTTGACAACCAACTTGGATTTATCTTGGGAATTATTCATCTGCTGCCCCACACCTATGTAGATGTAATCACCAGTTCTGTGGTGCTGGGTCAGTAGGGACAAAGAGTCGGCCCTGAAGCAGCACTCCTGAGTTCATCCACAGTATTAGACCAGGAGAATGCATTCATCTTTTCTGTGATCTAATTTTATTCTCTGTATAATAGAAATAATACAAATTTTCTCCTCAGAGGTCTCTAAAGGAATTCAAAGAGAAAATACTTTATAAATTCTCCATTGTCTATTATCATTCACCCAGCTATGAGCTAGTTCACTTTCCCTAGTTAAAATATATACAAGCATCTCTTTTCATTCCAACCCCTTAACTTTTTACTTCTCCTCATAGATTACCCTCACACAAACTTCTACCTGCAAAGCAAACTCTATTGGGAGAGAAAATGGAAAATATTTATACTATACACTTTACAGCACATCACTTAATAGCTTTACTTTAGATGTTTTCATATTTCAAAAACCTTTTTAGCACTCAGAACTTATCTCTTATTTCTCTGTCCTACAAACTGCTGGGCAATTCAGTTCAAACTCACATCCTAACCCCATATTCTGCACCAAATTGTTACAAAGTACCCAGCAAAGCCATTTTTGTTACTTGCTTTTGTGGCCCATCAGTTTCCATTGCAGTTATTTGGATAGACATAAGTAAGTCTTCTAAACACACTCAGTTGTCCACAAAAAGAATAATGATGAATGAAATTTTCTTCACCTAATTTTACCTGAATGTTCTAATTCATTTAATTGTATTTCATTTTTATTTTTCCATTTAACCCAAGTCTTCTGCTACCATTAGTCTCCTTATTCATGCATCCATTCACTGAATAACCACTAAGAATACAGTGTGTAGCACCAAATCTCGACAAAGGGATAAACATAGTGTGGCTGTCCTCTGTGGCTGATACACTGAGACATTTCTATGACACACTTAGCCATTTCTAGCCTACCAGGCCCAATCACCCTCATACCTGCCCTACCAAGAGGTCTCATTCATATCAGATCCACAAAGCAGTCTTTGTTCTCCTATATACAGCATTTTTACTTATGAGTATGGTCTGGAATCATCTTTGCCTCTTAAAAATTCTGAACCTGAGAGAAAAATTCTGGCCCAGGAGAGGCTAATGCCTTTGTCCACAGTTCTTTCCTGCTATCTCAGATCCTATCCCAGACTTTTCCTTCCTCAAGAAATTCTGGAGACATGGCATAAACTCTGGCAGGAACAGGAGGGGGTCCGTGTGCATGATTGGACCATAGAATATTCCTGTCAGTAGATGAACCCGCACAGTAACAGCCGGCACAGCATTTACAGTCGACATGAACTGGGTTTGAGTCCAGGACCCCAGACTCCCTGGGCTTTTTTAAAATAATTTTTACAAGCATCTGTGTCCTCCCCTGTGACATAGGGACAGTAATTCCCACACAGCAGGGTGGTCCTGGGACTCAGAGGTTATGCAGCAGGAACTCATGACTTTCTTTTTGTTCTTAGCAGCTCCAGTGGAGGGGTTCTGAGCATAAGTCCAACCACCCCAGCCGAGGGGACAGAATTCACAATGATTATCAGAAGTATCTGGAATTATCTTCAACCTGTCAACTTTTGGACCTCGATTGAGGGCTTGCCAACTCTCATCACTGCACAGATTGGGCTGGTGGGAAATGCAGTTGTGCTCTGGCTTCTGGGCTTCCGAATGCATAAGAACGCCCTCTCAGTCTACATCCTCAACCTGGCGGGAGCCGACTTCCTTTTTCTCTGTTTTCATGTTATAGTTTCTCTGAACAAACTCAACCTCACTTTCCTTTTCTTTCTCGACTTCATCCTCAAGTATTTACCCATTGTAATGATCTGTTCCTACCTTACAGGCCTGAGCATGTTGAGCGCCATTAGTGCTGAGCGCTGCCTGTCCATCCTGTGTCCCATCTGGTACAGCTGCCACCGCCTGATTCACACGTCAGCTGTCATATGTGCCATACTCTGGGCCCTGTCCCTGCTACTGAGCATCCTGGATTTGTACTACTGTTTCTTCTTATCTATGAATTTCAACTATTGGTGTCAGACATTTAGTTTCATCATAGCTGCATGGCTAATAATTTTATTTATGGTTCTTTCTATATCTAGCCTCACCCTGCTCGTCAGAATCCTCTGTGGCTCTCGGAGGGTGCCACTGACCAGGCTGTATGTAACTATTGGGCTCATAGTTCTAGTCTTCCTCATTTGTGGCCTGCCTATAAGCATCCTAAGTTTTCTGTCATTGTGGATTCATAATAATGATGTGATTCTGCATTTTTCTGAGAGGACTGCTTTATTTCTGTCCTGTATTAACAGCAGCGCCAAACCCATCATTTACATATTTGTTGGCTCCTGTAGGCGGGGACAAAACCTTTGGCGGCAGCAACCATCGCTCAAGTTGGTTCTAGAGAAGGCCTTCCAGGACATACCCGAGGTTAAGAAAAGTGGAGAAAGCCTTCCTCAGGAAACAACAGAGAGTCCAGTTGTCCCTTAATGTAGTGATTATGCAAGTTCAAGTAAAGTATTGTTTCAAAGAAATATTAACTCTGGAAGATAAATAGATGATTGTATTAGGTGAAAACTTTACATTGATATAGATATATGTAGAGAGAGATATAGAAATAGAGATGCCATTTATTGATGTGTTATCTGTGGCTGCTTTCACATGACAACAGCAGAGATAAATACATTGTAACAGAAATCAAGTGGCTGCAAAAACTAAAATACTCATTAATTTATTCTTGCTAGTATGTGTATGAAATTATCACAATCATAAATTCTATTTAGTGTAGGGCTTCTGTGTTTGGGATTGGGGTCTCTAATAATTGATTAGCATGCCATAAGCATGATTGTGGCATGCTTGGTGGCTAGGAAGTTTCTGTTCATAGGCACAGAATGCCTGGGTGCTAGGAAATGTCTGTGCAAAGGTACAGAATGCCTGGCTGGTGGGAAACTTCTGTGTAAAAGACATGGGATGCCTGGCCACACTAGTAATGTTTTTCTTGAGGAAGCTCTGTGTTGAGAGTTTTATCAGTTTTGACTTTGATCTTAGCACATAACTTCTGGGAATAAAGGAACTTGCTTGCTAGATAAATACAAAGCTTCACCAAGCTTTGGTGCTCCTGGATCTGCCTGCTTAACAGTAACTTTAGACAATGGATTTTCTTAAGAGCTGCACAAAGCTCCTGACATTGTGTATTGAAACTGAAATGAAACTGCAGACTAAGTAACCTTACTAATACTCTAAACAATAATGTAGTTATGGTACAAATGACCTAATGTAACCTATTGGCATAAATAAACATGGTTGCTTGGACAAACAGCCACTTTCCTGCCTCTGCTCCTTGTCTCTGAGTCTCCTCTTATTATTATTCCTTACAACTGGTGACCAACACTGGGGCATGAGAAGAGTTCTCTCCCCAAACAGCCTCCCAGTCCACAGAGAGTTTGAGACAACAAAATCTGCTCTAATAGAGACCTTTCTGGATATTGACAGGTAACCGAGAAAGAGAGTAGATTACTTATACCTGAAAAAGGCTTTTCATGCATGTCTTTCATCTGCTGGCACAGATCCCTAATCAGTCAGCTATGGGTAATTTTCTGATGCCTCAACGACATCATTGAGCCAAGCTTTTTCTCCTACTTAGTTAGCAAGGCTGGACATACCGCAATAATGCTGATCTTGCTGTTTTGCTGACAGAGATAAGCTCTTGTTGTCCTTTTTATCCAAAAAGTGCATTACTAAATTTAAAAGATTTGGAAAAGATAGGTGAAATGTTTCATGAGGAGCCACAATCTTCTGTTCCTTTGCTTCAAGCCTGGTTTCTTTGTCATGACACTATGGATAAGACTTCTGTTTCTCAATCTGCCTACTCTTTTCCCTCTGTGCCCAGACATGTGGCCTCTTTAAAATCAGTGCAGCTCCAACAGCAACATGCTGTCCCTAGCTCTTCTGGAGCCTTTCCAGTACACTCTTTTAACTAATTCACTGCCAGTGCCACTGTGGTTGGCTATTGGCAACCACCCTGCCCCCAGCTAGAGTTGACTTAATTGAGTGTTTGGGACAAGCTGTTGAGGAAGGGTAGTCTCATATGTTAGCTGTAAATTCTACTAACCAACCAAAATATGAACAGTTACCTTTTGCTGTATTTCAAAAAAATTACAACCTACCAACCCAGGGCAAAAGGAAGGGGAATCCATTTTTCCAACCTCCACCCAAAAATCCTCTATTGCTCAACTGATTATAATTCCCTATGTTTCAGCTCAACAAACTTTAAATGAAAGGGAAAATACAAAGTTTAACTCTACTGTTATTGAAACATGTTTATCAATTACTAAAAGTAAACCTAAACTAACTCTTTGTTTAAATGAAAAGTCATTTACAGAGTTATCAGACACAAATACTAATGTCATAGTAATAAATACTTTTATGGTATGGCTTTATGTATGACGTTCAGAGGCCACCCTGGTCTGGGGCAAAAAAAAAATTTAAAAATATTAAAAAAATAATCAAGTGTCCAAAAGCTCCCTGTGGCTATCATGTGCTATCCTTTCCAAATCACAACAAATCATTACTTATATTCAACCATATGTGGAAACTATTACAAGATTTGCAAGATTAAAACAAAAAGAAAAAATAACTCAAAAAATGTAAACTGCAACACCATGCTTTAAGAAAATTATTTTATAAAAGAAAATATAATGTTTATAACAGTTTTACTTATTTGTAGCTTCTGCTGAATCTCTAATTTTCCTAGCCTTATATTTAAAATAGTATAGGTGCTATACGATTTATTAGGTTTATTAAAAACCAGTTCAGACAGAAAAAAGGTTTTTTGCATCTCTTAAGATGATCAATAAACATAATTTATCATATTAAGAGACTTAAAAACAAGAATCATATGATCATCTCAATAGATGCAGAAAGACCATTTGACAAAATACAACACACTTTCATTTCAAAACACTAGAAAAATTAGTGATAATAGGAACATAACTCAACATCTTAAAAGCTATATATGCTAAACTCAAGGCCAGCAGTATTCTAAATGAAAAAAATTGAAAGCATTCCCTCTAAAAACTGGAATAAAACAAGAATGTCCTCTTTCACCACTTCTATTCAACATCATACTTGAAAATCCAGCCAGATCAATTAGGGAAAAGAAAGAAATTAAAGGGATACAAATAGATAAAGAAGAACTTAAAGTTTCATTATTTGCTGATGCCATGATTCTGAATCTAGAAAATCCAAAAAACAAAAATTCCACAAGAAAACTTCTGGAACTAATAATAAATTCAGCAAAGTAGCAGGATATAAAATCAACACCCCAAAATCAAGCACATTCCTATACATCAGTGATGAATCCACTGACAGAGAAATTAGGAAAACTACCCCATTAACAATAGCCTCAAAAAAATAAAATACCCGGAACTCAATTTAACAAAAGAGGTAAAAGACCTCTACAATGAAAACTAAGAACATTAAAGAAAGAAATTGAAGAAAACCCCAGAAGATGGAAAGATCTCTCAGCTCCTGGATAGGGAGAATTAATATTATAAAAATGGCCATACTACCAAAAGTATTATACAGATTTAATGCAATTCCTATTAAAATCCCAATGACATTCTTCATAGAAATAGAAAAAGCAATCATAAAATTTATTGGAAAAAATAAGAGACCCAGAAAACCTAAAACAATCCTTAGCAAGAAAAGTGAAGCAGGAGGCATCACAATACCAGACCTTAAACTACACTACAGAGCTATAGTAATAAAAACAGCATGATATTGGCACCAAAATAGACTTGTAGACCAATGGTATAGAATAGAGGACACAGAAACAAACCCACATAAATAGTTATGTCATACTAGACAAGGTGCTAAAAACATTCACTGGAAAAAAGATAGCCTATTCAACAAATGGTGCTGGAAAAACTGGAAATCCATATATAGCAAAATGAAATTAAACCTTGATCTCTCACCCTGCACAATTCAAAATGTATCAAAGACTTAGAAACTAGAACAGAAACCCTGTGCCTAATAGAAAAAAATTAGGCCCAATTCTTCACTACATCTGTCTGGAAACTGACTTCCTTAACAAGACTCCTACAGTGCAAGAAGTAAAATCAAGAATCAATAAATGGGATGGACTCTAATTAAAAAGCTTCTTCTCAGCAAAGGAAACAATCAATAATGTGAGCAGAGAGGCTACAGATTGGGAGAAAATCTTTACCACATGCACCTCTGATAAAGCATTAATCTCTAGGAAAAATAAAGAACTCAAACACATACACACACACACACAAACACACACACACACACACACACAAGCAAATAACCAATCAATTAATGGGCTAAGAAAGTGAACACTTCATAGAAGAAGAAATACAATCAATCAACAAATATATGAAAAAGTGTTCAACACCTCTAGCAATTAAAGAAATGCAAATCAAAACTACTCCAAGATTTCATCTCACTCCTGTTAGAATGGCAATCATCAAGAATACAGACAACAATAAATGTTGGCAAGGATGTGAGGGAAAAGGTACACTCATACATTGCTGATGGAACTGGAAATTGTTACAACCACTATGGAAATTACTATAGAGATTCCTCATAAAACTTGGAATGGAACCACCAATTGTCCCAGCTATCCTACTCCTTGAATTATACCCAAGGGACTTAAAATTAGCATATGACAGTAATGCAGCCACATCAGTGCAGCTCAATTCACAATACCTAAACTATAGAACAAACCTAAGTGTTCTTTAATAGATGAGTGGATAAAGATAATGTGATATATATGCTCAAAGGAATATTACTCAGCTTTAAAGAAGAGTAAAATTATGGCATTTCCCAGTAAAAGAATGGAGTAGGAGAATATCATGCTAAGTGAAATAAGCCAATCCGAAAAAACAAAGGCCAAATGATTTCTCTAATATTCAGATGCTAATTCACAATAAGGTGATGGGGAGGTGGGGGACTGGAGAAGAATAGCATTACCTTAGATTAGATAGAGGGAAGTGATGGGAGGAAAGAGGAGGAGATGTG